TGCACCGAATCCTAAGAGAATGAAGTTAGCCACTCATGTTGGTCATTACAATGCTTCAATTGATGAAGAAGAATTGATGAAGATTGGACAAAACCCTAACAGTAGTCGTGCCTCCTCCTCTCCAAGACTGCTTGCTTTTCTCAAAACACAACTTATCTTTTTATAAGAGAATTTGGGCCGGGCCTTGCATCATTCATTTGCTTAGGCGCTATTTTTTCTTTTAATTTTACTCCAATTATGCTGACAACTATGCTCCTTACTCTTGTATCAAGGTATTCTCAAATTCATCCTATATTGGGAGAAAAATATATTAGAATTAACATAAATTAAGTAGTTTTATAACAATTTAAGGCATAATTATATCAACTTTTTACCACTTAACAATATATATAATAAAATTAAATATGTTTATGAATATTTTTGTATAAGTTTTAAAAATACTACTTAATATATCGATTATATAAATGGAGTTTAAATTATAATATCATCTTATAATAGAGTTTTTACAATGTTAACTATGGAGGAATATCATTAAAAAAACTCTTGAGAATTATAAGTTGAAGAAGGAAGAAAAGTGTTCTTGGTGAAAACAAAAAGATTGGAGGAGGATGTTAAAGAATAATAAATGTAACTGAATAACTACTAAGAAGAAAGTTAAGTTTTTCTATGATAATATTTTTTATAATAAATTATTGATTATCACTAAATTATAAATTTTATTATAAATTATTTTTTAATAAAATTAAGTGCAAAATCACAAATTATTTTAAATATAAAAATAAAATATTAATAAATATGAAGATTAAGTTCAAAAATATATATTTTTCAATAAATTAAGTCTAAATTCGAATTTATTTCAAAATAGAACTATAGATTAAATTAAAAAATAGTTGTTAGATAATTAAAATGTAGCAGGTTTAATTTCTGTTAAAAGGAGAAAAAAATCATAATTAATAATTCTCAAAAAAAAAAAAGTAGCGGGTATCATCAGTAATTTTTATTTAAAATATTATATTTTTACACTATATGTCTTCTGTATATTTAAAAATAACTGGCGTTTGGAAATAAATTAAAAAAAAAATTGTTCTTTTAAGAATAAAATATTTTGTGATAAGGTATAACGTGTGAATATAAATTTTAAACATAAATTGGAATAATAATTTATAAAATACAGTTTAATTACTTAAAATTTAAATTTTTTATTTGGCAAACCTATATACACGCGTTTGAAAAAAATAATAATCGCGTTGAAGGTTCCATCCTTTCAACACACGACCTTTTTTAGGTATCACATAATTTTTTTAAGCAAAGATTATAAAATAGCTTTGATAATTATTGAATAAAATATTTTAAATAAAGATTACAAGATTATAAAACAGCTTTGATAACTGTTGAACAAAATATTTTAGATAAAGATTAGAAAATTGACAGCTATTAACTGTTAAACAAATTATAAATTTTTCTCTATGGGATAAAAAAGTCTATACTAAACAGTATAATGACATTTTAATAACTTATTATATATACTCTGTTAAATTTTATTATTTTTAGAAAATATTTTAAAACGTTATTTAGTTATTCCTTTCCAGTCTAGTCTTTATATTTACTTTGACATTGACTACTAACATTTATTTCTTAAGTGATTTGAATGGGATGAGAAAAAAAATTCATCTATAAAAATTTTTACAATACTAAATTAGTAAATAAATATACAGGTTAATACGAATAATAAATTTAAATAAAAGATGTATCAAATATATTCCAAAATATTTTTGGAGATAATATATTACAAAATATTTTTCTAAGATATAGAATGGTTTGTTGTTCCATTAATATTTTTGTTATGAAAATGTAGATTTGTGTGTATAAATTATTAAAAATATTTTAAATTTATTCATATCTATAATTAAAAATATACTCATTTCTTATAATTTTAATTAATTAATGATTTAAAATTGTTTTTTTTTTAAATTAAATACTTTTCCAAAAGAAACTATTATTTTATTAAAAATAAACATAACATTACGGACAATTATACATCATATCATATTTATCCCATATTTTATAAAATAATTTCAATGTCATCAAAAATAAGATTTAACGAAGGATCTTCTTTTTGTTGAATTATTCGAAGTGGTTCTTTGTCCAAATCGTGGATACTTTTTCTTTTATTTTTGTTGACTCGAATTCAAATGTTTCAAATACTTTTGTGCATGACTTGCAACTTGAGGTGGAGTTTTTGTTTTCACCACATTTCTTGAAATATTTGTCCATGCATGTCCATATTTTTCAAATCCAACCAGAAATAACCTTTGAGGAAGAAAGATTTTAGAAAATGATTTTTTATTTCTTAATTAAATATTTAAATAAAAAGACGTATATTACCTATGTTCATCTTCACTCCATCTTTTATAACGAGATGATCCTACGAGATTAGTTTGAGGATGTGACAACTTTATCTCTCTCGGTGATAAAAGTGGAGTTTGGATTTGAATGTTTTCGTGAAACGACGGTAACAATATTATTGGTTCACAAATGAAATTCAAAAACTCTTGCCACGAGATCGAAGAAGAAGATACTCAAAACACGTTATTTTTCATCCTTGATATTTTTTCTTCTTATAAAATGTGATTTTATTTTTAAGGTGAGTTCGTTTATATAACAAGTAATAGATATACAATAGATTTAATGGTAAATTATCATATAATTAATTTCAGAATAAGATTTTATTTTAAATTTCAAATATAAAAATATAAAATAATAATAGAGGTAAAGATTTGGTTTAAAATATATATTTTTTAATAAATTATATCCAAATTCGAATTTATTTAAAAAAAATAGTTGGTTAAGTTAGTTAGACAGTTAAGAAAGATATTGAAACCAAGTTTTAAAAAATAAAATAATAATTAATAAATCTTTTCTGTAGATTTAAAATTAACTGGCGTCTAGAAATTTATTTTAAAAGGAATATTTTATTTTGTTATTAAGAATAAAATATTTTGTGACAAAATATGATGTGTGAATATAAATTTTAAAAATAAATTAAAATTTAAAATAAAATAATTGCCATCTTGCACCAATCTCTCTCATGACTAGTTATAGATAATCATTCTTTTTAATCAATTCTTTTTTTTATCTCAAAAAAAAAAATTATATTTCTATAAAAATAACTAGTATTACAGTTGGTTATATCTTATATCATAATATTTTGTGTTAGTTTCAACAATATAATAAACAATACAATAAATACACGATATATTTATATATATATATATATATATATATATATATAACTCCAATATAAAAATAATATATTTTATATAAAAATAATATTGTAATTAAATTTATAATAAAAAAAAACTTTAAACGTAATTTATAGTGAATAATTTATGTAGAAATTCTTTGTTATTTTGTAGTATTATATTTTCAAAATTTTAAATGAAATGAGACAAAAAAAATGAAGAATCATTACATCTGAAAAATTATCTTGAAAATTTTACAAATATAATATATTATATTATAATATTTTAAGTAATTTAAATATTTTTTTAAAGACCTATAAAAAAAGATTTAAATTATTAGAAAAAATTATTAAAAAGGTTAAATAATTATTATTATTATTATTAAAAAATAAGATTGTTTATCTCTTAGAAGAAGAAATGAGCATGCGTTGAAAAAAATCTAATTTGTAATTACTATTATTTAATTAAGAATTAAAATAAATAAAAAGTAAAGTAAAATATTGGGTATGGGTGAGTGGTAGACAATTGGAAAGAAGAGAAAAAGAAATAAATTTTAAAAAAATGGTAAATAAATTTTTGAATAAATACCTTGACTAATTCAGAGGAGTAAATGTGTTTTTTAAATAAATTTAAAATTATATTTTGAACTTTAGTAGTAGGGTCTTATAGGTCATATTTTACTTAATATTATAGATTAATTTTATATTGATTAATAAGAGAAATTGATCCTTATACTAGAGAGGTAATGTTACATAATTTCTCCATATTAAAGTGAAAATTAAAAATGTAAAAGAATGAACTTGGTCTTTTGTCCCCTCAAAATAATAACATAGACATAATTATTTTTATATATAATAATAATATTCAAAACTAATTGTTTATGAACACACATTTTTTATAATATTAAAACAAAATATAAAGTAACAATTTAAAAAGATTTTGCAATGTTATCTTAAATTCTTAAACTAGTAGTCCAGAGCTACGTATTGGTGGTAACAAGCTAGAACCACTGGCTTTGAGGATCATTAAGACATAAAGAATAATTTTTATGTAGATACGTTTTGAAGTGACAATGATGGATGAGTCAAAATTCTTCTGCAATCAAAGTTGTTCCTCATGCTCAGTCATAGTAGTCAAGTGAAGTTTAGACAGTGATATAGATTTCCAAGAACTCTTCATGTTTTCACAATCAGAAACTACAACTGGAAGTCCTTCACCGGCTGCTTTTAAGCACTTCTTAGTGCCATGTAAAAGGATTTCACTCTCATTGCCTCCATGAACCCATCTGTTCTTGGTCTCATAGCTACCAAGTTCAACTTCACTCTTCTCGTTCACTTGACTACATTCACCAGATAATGGGTGGTACAAAACATTTACAATGGGGGCCTTGGAGATAGGTTTTGCACAAAGACACACAAATTATGTTATTGCAAATATAATTCATATTCATGGTTATGAATGTAATAATGCATCATCACCGAACTTATTCGTTTAACTCAAAAGCCATACCTAGATTCTTCTTTTGCAAAAGTTGGAACTTGCGAGTGAAGTTGAGATCTCTCAGGTGGTGCCAAGTCTCATCCATTACACCAAATGACTCCTCAACTTGGACCGTGTCATTATTTAAATAGTAGCTACCCTGAAAAGCCCATAAACCCCAGTCCAAATCTTTTCCAACAAGATAGGTTTTAAGGCAAGTCAAGAAGATGTTGTCCTCCATTGAAGAACCTACCTCATTAAACCAAAATTCTGTAAAAATCAAAGGAGCTGCATTATTGTCAGTGGTGAGAAATCCAACTCTGTCCTCTCTATCCCTTTAATGTTGTCGGTACATATCCTATTCACTGGTTTCTTTGTCCATATCTCTCTCAATTTCAGGGTTCCAATTCCCGACCATGAATACAAATGTGTCTCAAACACCATTTTCTTACCCAAATCTATCTTCAATGGTTTACTCTTTAAGAACTGCAACTCAGTATCATAGTTCAATCCGGATATAACCACAAACACATTTGGGTTTGTCTTGTGTGTAGTCACTACTGCTTTGCTCATGTACCTGTACCAATCATACAAATTTTGGCGTGGACCATGCAATTCATTCCTCAAGCTCATTGCCACAATCTGTTTGCATACACAAAATAATACTTTATATCCATTATCTTATTAAAAAGACTAAGAAAACTATAATATAGATCGTTTAAACAAAAGAGAAATATAGATACAACATGGTTTCCATTGAAGTGTTTGGCTATCGGAGTAAGGCCATGCACCCATTCTTGAGGATTAAAATGTCTATCATGGAAGAAATTGTTCTCATCATCGTCATTACAACACCACTTTGGCTCACTCACGTGGTTATCAAGCAACACTTTCACATTTTGAATCTCAAGTTCACAAACAACAAAAATCAAAGAACTAAACATGTGTCATGGATAACACAGAAGGGTTATTCTTGGCAATGCCTTGGACCATGCCTGACACATCCAAAGAGGTAAACGTGACATTGACATTGTCATGGACATAGCGTGTCCACATGTAGATTGCATAGGTGAGATGAACACAGTTGAATTTGTGTTCCACAATCTCACCAACGATGTCCTTTAAGTGCCTTTTGTCAAGACCCTCAGGAATCATTGGATGGAGGTGGTCAGCCCAATTAGCACATACCAACTTCGCACGTTGCCCAATGCCCTATGCCTTCATCTATGATCCATCTCTTGTGTGTCGATAAAGGATACATATTCAAATGTGATGAGAACAAGGAAAAGAATAAGAGCTAAAGCTATTCTCAACATTTTTTCTTTTGAATGAATTAAAATTAACTTTTCAACTTGAAGAAGAAACCATGTAAATATATAATTTTTTGCGGTAACAATTTTAACAAAATCTAATCATTAATAGATTTCACATCCTTTTTATGTTAACAAAATCTAATTATTAATAGATTCAAATCCTTTCTACTTTAACAAAACTTTATTGTAACTGAGTAACTTCTTCACCTTTCTATCATCTGCTTGTTTTCTATTGAAATTAACAAGGAAAGAAACAATTTTCTTTTCCATCGTTTAAATTTGACTGGAAAAATAAATGATTTATTGACCGGATTTCAAAATAAACAATTTTTCAACATCTTTAATTATTAATATAATATTAATAAAATTTTAAATATTTATATTTATTATTATAATTATATTATTAAATAGAAAATGTTGGCAGAATGTTTTAAAATTATTTAAATATCATTCCTCTTAAATAATATTTTACATATAAGCTGTAATACTAGCTATTTTTATAGAAATATAATTTTTATTTTATGAGATAGAAAAAAATTTAAATTGAATAAAAACATGATTATCTATAGCTATTCATATGAGAAATTGGTGCAAGATGGAAACGATTTTAAATTTCAATTTATTTTTAAAATTTATATTCACACGTCATATTTTATTCCTAATAATAAAAGAAAATATTCCTTTTAAAATTAATTTCCAGACATGAGTTAATTTTAAATCTATAGAAGATATTTTTTAATTATTATTTTATTTTTTAAAACTTGGTTTCAATATCTTTTTACATCTATTAATATTTTATATTTCAAATTTAAAATAAAATATGATTCTAAAATTAATTATGATTCTAAAATTAATTATGATTCTAAAATTAATTATCTTATAATTTATAGTCAAATCTTTTACTTGTTATATAAATGATGTCACCTGTAAAAAAAATTACACTATCTAAAAAGAAGAAATATCAAGAATGGAAAATAACGTGTTTTTAGAATCTCCTTCTTTAACTTTAACTTGGCAAGAGTTTTTTAATTTCATTCCCGAACCATTAACATTGTCAACGTCGTTACAAGAAAATATTATAATTCAAACTCCACTTTGATCATTGACAAAGACGAAGTTGTCACACCCTCAAACTAATCTCTTAGGATCATCTCGTTATAAAATATGGAGTAAAGAAAAATATAAGTAATATACGTCTTTTTATTTAAATATTTAATTAAGAATTCAACAAATATTTTCTAAAATCTTTCTTCCTCAAAGGTTGTTTTTGGTTGGATTTGAAAAATGTGGACATGCATGGGTAAATATTTCAAGAAATGTGGTGAAAACAAAAACCCCAACTCAGGTTGCAAGTCATGCCCATAAGTACTTCAAACATTTGAATTCAGCCAACAAAAGCAAAAGAAAAATATCCATGATGTGAGCTTACCAAATAAAGAACCACTTCAAATCATTCAACAAAAGGAAGATCCTTTGTTAAATCTTATTTTTGATGACATTCTTTCGCACAATGTCCAACCTCACCACAATTGTAACACTTGTCCGAGTAACAATTCTTTGCATAATAATCATATTTGTCATACTTAAAACACTCAACGTTATAGGTCAATGATCTCTAATCATAATACTACCACACCAGTTTTGTTGATCTTTTTCTTCCTTCTCACCACCTCGGCCTCTACCATTATGTTCACGTCCTCAAGTGTTTTAAGAGTAGAAAGCTTTCTTACCTGTCTCACTCTAGAGCACTTGCATCGTTGCCTCCTCCTTCTTGTTCTTTTGTTGGTGTTCATAGGCTTTAAGAGAAGTGACAAACTCTTTTATTATAACATCGAATAAGTCATTTATTTGCTCTATCGCACACACTTTGTTCTTAAAATAATTAATATTGACCTCATGATCTTTTCCACAATTTGTTATTTGGAAAACGTCTCTCCATTTTGATTAGGTTGTTTCACCACGTTTTCAATAAACAATACATATTTGGAAACTTCTTCCGACTCTTTCATTCTCATACTCTTCATCTTATTATGCAGTGTTTGTCGTTGAATTCGTGTGACTCGGTCATCGTCATTGTACTGCTTCTCTAAAGCTTTCCCACACTTTCTTTGAGTTTTTGACACTTTTTATCTTCTTTAGGATTAATTATCAATAACTCGATACAACATGTATCCATCTCACACTTCTCTCTTAATGCATTGTGTGCGTTTGCTAACAATCCTTCGATACTCTCTAGTTCCTCAAAACCAACCTTGACTATCTCCCAATTACTTTGTGATCTCAACAAGGCCCAGTTAAGTGATACAAAATTGATATAATTATGCCTTGAATTGTTATGAAACCACTTAACTTATGTTAATTTTAATATATTTTTCTCCCAATATAGGATGAATTCAAGAATACCTTGATACAAGAGTAAGGAGCACAATTGTCAGCATAATTGGAGTAAAATTAAATGAAAGAAGAATGCTTAAGCGAATGAAAGATGCGAGACCCAACCCAAATTCTCTTATAAAAAGATAAGTTGTGTTTTGAGAAAAAAAAGCAGTCTTGGAGAAGAAGAGGCACAACTACTATTAGAGTTTCGTCTAATCTTCATCAATTCTTCACTTCTTCATCAATTCTTCACTTCTGGAGTATTGTAATGGCCAACATGAGTGACTAACTTCATTCTCTTAGGATTTGGTGCACTTCCTTTGAACTCTTTTCTATCATGGTGATATTTTGAGATATTGATCTATGCTTTGATGTTATTATTCTTATCCTTTATGCTTTGGAATGATTTATTCTTGATGTTTGGGGTATGATTAGAAAATATATCTTGAACCCTAGATCACGGTAAAAATATTTGTTACGTTAATTGTCAGGAATGGAATGAATATATCAATTGCTTAACACCCTAACCCTAATGCTGGAAAATCTCTTAATTGTGTGAGGAATCAACATTTATTAGGTTTTCTTATGAATTTCATGTGTGAGGAATCAACATGGATGGTTTGAGTAGGTGGCATCAACATTGTTAGGTTAATTGACGTTCTTAATTGACATAACCATTACAAAAGAGGGATAAGGAAGGAAGTCAATCCTAAGTACCTTTAATTAATATTTTCTCAACAATTTACAGTTCTTTGTCATTTAATTTCAATTCAACTCCTATTACAAAAACCAATCTGTTTTAATCTACTTAGTAAGCATAATTGGGAATTTCCATTGAAATTGTTCCTTGTGGGATCAACTTTTAATTAATCGAAATACTATACTGCGATTGATAATTTTGGTACGCTTGCCAATAATTTAACAAGTATTTCTGGCGCCGTTGCCGGGGAACGGTGTTCTTTGAGAATTCTTTGTTTAGCTTATTGAGTATTTTATTTTTATTTCTATTTTTGTTTTATTATTATTTAGTTTTTAGTTTGTGCTAATATTTGCTTGAGTTACTATTTTGATTTATGCGTTTAAGAGGACATGTGTCTTCAGAACAGTTAGAATTTAACCCAGAAATTGAAAAAAAACAGCTCGGAGGAACCGGGGTAGAAGAAGAAGGGAAACTCAAGAATAAGCTACAAGAGAATAACCCAGACCCAATTATAGAAGATATGGTGGAAGAAGGAGCAAATATGAATTCGAATCCAGATCCAAATATAAATCCAAATCAAAACCCAAATTCAAATCAACCTAGAATAACTCTTAGAAATTGTGCTATTCAGCAAGGTCCAAGGCATTTTTCCAGTATTGTCATTCCGGATGATCATATATTGCAGATGAATCCATCCTTCTTAAGCTTGATTAGTGCTCATCAATTCACTGGATTGGATCATGAAGACCCTTATATTCATTTGTCTACTTTTTTATGAGTTGATTGGTACCATGGGATTTAGAGCAGCAAATCTTGAATCTGCATATTTGATATTGTTTCCTTTTTCTTTGGCAGGTAGGGCAAAAGAGTGGCTGAAAGCACATCCTAATCAAAGTTTGACTAATTGGAGTAGTGTAGAAGAGAAGTTTCTGAATATATTTTTCCCACCATCCCGCTACATCAAAGCAAAATTTGACATCACTTCTTTCAGACAAGAAGCAGATGAAAAATTTCTATACTGGCTTGCGGCATGATACGAAGATGCTATTAGAGGCTGCAGCAGGAGGATCCATGTTGAATGTAGAAATTGAGCATGCCACAAGAATTATTGATGCACTAGCTTTTACAGACCAACATGCTCAACATGATAGACATCCAATTCAAAGGAAGAGAGTTCTTGAACTTAACACCACAAATGCTCTCTTAGCCCAGAATAAAATTTTGACGCAACAAATTGAAGCATTGAACCAGAAAATAGAGAAATTACCTCAACAAATGCACACAGTACAATCTATTCTTAATCAACAGATGAGTTGTGATGTGTGTGGAGGTGATCATGCAAATGAACAATGCTTTTATCAAGGCAACATTCAACAAGAAGAAACTAATTATATGGGTGCCTAAGGTAGTAGTCAAAGTAGACAAGGTAATTTCCCTAATCCCAACAATTATCAGAATAATACTACACAAGGATGAAGAGGGAATCAGAATCAGAATCATAATTTTGGGTGGAAACAAGGTGTTAGCTCATCTACTAGACAACCTGCATTTCAACAACAGTCATATCAGCAACTTCCACATCAACAACAATAAGAACATTATCCTTCAGTGCCGGACAAAATAAGTAAATTGGAGATACTTTAGAAAGATTCATGCAAGGTACTACGACTAATTAAAAAAATTCTGAGGCAACTTTTGAAAAATTCATGCAAGACACTATGGCTAATCTGAAAAATACTGAGGCTTCATTCAGAAATATAAAGATC